AAAATAATTCTATCTCTTTCTTTACATCTTTTTCTTTATAAAATGGAGTAGTAGTTAAAGATAAAACTCCTTGTTGATATTTTTTATTAACTTGTATTAAATTAATAGCATCTTTAATAGATGTAAGGTATTTAGTGATAGAAACAATACAGTTGTTTTCCATTGGTTTTAGATTTCTTTGACTAAAAGGGTATTTGATCTTTAACCACTGAATTGCCACCTCTTGATGTCGTGTTTTTTATAAACTTAATTTATTAATAATAAAATTAATTATATTTGTAATAATTTAATAAGAAAAACAAAAAAAGAAAAGAGTTGAAAGACTTATTTTTCATAATTATGCAACGTCAGGAAGAAAAAATTACTTCAACGGATGAACAACATCTTTGTAAACCTAAACTCTTAAAAAGAAATGAATTAAAGAAAGAAATAGACAATAAAAAAACATTAGTTAAACCTAAACGCTCAAGACCTCTTAAGCATGTTGTTGGAAGTCAAGAAGTCTTACCAACATTACATGTTATTAAAGGACTAAGTACTGTTCGATTCGTAACAGGAGAAAAGGTTATTTCAGGTGGAACAAAAGAACATGCAGATATACTAAAGAAATATTGTTTAATAGGACTCAATCAAATATTGAGGAGTATAAAAAAAGATGATGTTGCAGTTGTTCTTATTTTGAGATATAAACATATGAATAGTGAAACAACTGATAGTATTGATGTGTTAAGTGACGTATTAAAAACATGTTCAATTACTAAGTCATTTAAACTATATTATGACATTGTCTCTCAGTCAACAATTCGTTCTTTGTTTCAAATAAATTTTAATCCACGCATTATCGGAATTAAAAAGACTTATTTAGGTAATTCTTCATTAAAAGATTTATTGTCACAATGTGAATGTAATTGATTGTTTGCTTATTTGTATCTTTTAATTGTAATTTTTAATCAATTAAATTATGAAGGATTTAATAATGGAACGTTGGTATGTTGTTAAGTATTTAACAAGTTAATAAATATAAATCAATAATGTTAAATAAAAAATTCATTAGAAGTTTTAATGTTATTAAAGGGTGTAATGTTGAAAAATTTGAAACTTAATGAACTATTATTTGTGATAATTATTTAAAATAAAGAATGAAAGATATTTCAACTTTTCCTTAAAGAAAAATTAGAGTAGAAATTTAAAATGAATAAAACTTGTTTTAAATTATTTTTTTTCTTGGTTTATGAAGTTAAAGAGAATTGTTTGAAGGAAAATAAAGATTATGAAAAAGCTATATTTTTCCCAAATAAACATCTTTTAATAGAACAAAATTAGCACTTTTTCAAAATGTTGTTATGAAAAACAACATTATCATTTGTTAGAAAATAAAGGGAAGATTAATATCATATATAACTGCACATGATAGAACTTTTCATGAAATAAAAATCTCTTATTTACAAACTCTCATTTGTATTTTATTTTAAATAAAGTCTAAAATATTTTTGCTTCTATTTAAAACATAAAGAAAACAGGTGACAAGACATTGAATGGTAAAATGTTTTTATTAATTGTTAAGTTTTAATGGTAAAGATTACTTTTTTATTATTTTTTTTTTTTTTAGTTTAATTATAGCACATTTATAAACAAAAGTAATTGATTGTAGAACAGGAGAGGATATTATTTTGAAGACAAAATAGTTAATAGTTTAATTATAGATCAATTTATTAAAAAGTACTGAATTTTTAATTTTATATTGTAATTTATTATAATGATATTTTGTAAATATACTATTGGGACTGAAAGCTCTCTCTTTGTCAGTTGACTTATTTTATTATTTTCAAGATTATGAATCAAAAGGGATATGTGTGGTATTGAACTTGTGAAAAATGAAGTGTAGGCTCTAATATTAGAAGTTATAACTAAAACATTTCTATTTCATTGCACTTATATAAATATTCATTTAAATATACCAGTTTTCATTTCATAAAAGGATGTTAGATACTCTTGAGATTTCTCTTTGTTTGGTTAGTTCTTAGTTTAACTTCATAAAAAAAGCAATCATCTCAAAATAAGATTCGTATTGTAGGATCATTGTTTAGTGTTCTAATTAAAGGTATAATCCAAATTATAATGAAAAGAGTCATAACTTTCTTGAAACAGGTTTGATGGTTAAAAATTAGAAGACTAAATATTAATTCATATTTTTAGCAATCAACTTCTATTTTAAAAAAAAGACACGGAACAGTTTTAGATAATCTAGAATAAATTGAAAATAATTCTTTGATTAATAAATAAAAACTTATGTTGATGAATTTGATAAAAATAAAAAGAGCATCAAATAAAGAGCTATTGAAGTCAAGAACATTTTTTTTGTTTTATTCATTCTTTTTATATTTTTGAACCTAAGCAAACTTATTTCGAGTGAAAATGCTATGAAATTATTGGAAAGTCTCAACTCAACTTTTAAGTCTATATTAATTTGGAGCTTCATTGACTTTTCCTGGAATTTAAATGAACTACAATTACTATCAATTAATACAACATGTCCTCTTCTACCGAAAGCCTTTCCAATACTTCTGTTTCTAATGAAAATGGTTCTTTCCAATACACCCCTCATAAATCAATATTTAGACATTTTTCTGTACCAAACTTTATAGAATATCCATTTTCTGTTAATGATGATATGGAAATAGATGATGAAATAAAATCAATGGCAACGAAAAAAAAGCAAATAATTGAAAAAGAAGAGAATGAATGATATAAAAGAATAAAAAGAAAGTAAAAAGTTGGATATGATGAAGAAAGAATAAAAGTAGAAAGGAGAGAATATAAAAAGAAAGAAGATAAAGTGTAATAAAACAAAAGAGATGATAAAAGAAGAAAAGAATGAAA